ATAAATTTGTTTGTGGCTCTAGCCTCACCGATCTCTGTTCCAGGGGGTCGAGAAAGTATGTCCTCCACGAGTTCATTAAGACCCGCTAAGTTTGCTGCGTCTGTTAAACGCTGTCTGCTAACCCCATCACCAAGGTCACGAACGATGGCAGAATATTCCTGCCAAAGACGTATACTTGAAGGAACAGAGAGGATGCCTTGTGATAAAATATCAATAAGAATAGCTGAATTGACGTCGCGTTTATCTCTTCGTGGTTCATAACTGCGGATACGCAGCATGTCATCCAATTTAAGGGAAGCGTGAAGAAGCCAAAATTCTTCAGAATCAGGTTGATCCAGAGCTGCAATATCACAAAGTCTTTCTGCCAACCAAGTGTCACCAAGAGCGAAAAGGCTCCGGCAGATAAGGGGCACAACTGCATATCCATAGCGTTCCACGAGATGCATACAGATGGAAGAGCGTGGTTCAGGGGATGATAGTCGCTCCAGATCAATTTCCTGAATAAGTCCAGTTAGCCATGGAGTAGCACTAGTCGGTAGAATATGATTGGGTGATGCTAGGAGCAGTGAAGTAAGACTATCAATGTAGGCCGAATCATTTGTGAGGCGAGACGCAATCTGAAGCCCGGCAAATAAAAGGGATCTAGAGATAGGCCAAGGATGAGCCACACCACCAGCAATGGGAGTCACATCGAAAGAATGATCACTCGAATAAAGGACGTATGATTTAAGCTCTTTTAATAATTTATCCAGATCACAAGAATGAAGGATCTGGTAGAGTATATAGCACAGCCATAAATAGCATCTGGACCTGCTTGTGGAAGGATAAAAACTATGAAGACTTCGAAGGAGAGTATACTGATCTGCAATGTTGAGAAGTACGCGAAATGCGATAGCAAATGTTGAGGGTAAAGTAGAAGGAAGATGATGAACAAGATCAATTATCAGATCCTCTAAAATTGAAGCAGCACTGCGGACGCGCTTTTTCTGCCACGCATGGCAAGCAGAAATAAAAGCGTACTCAATGCGGTGGGAGATTAAATCATCTGAAGTAAGCGAGGGGAAGAGTTTACTAACCTCTGACAAGAACTCGGAGGCAGAACCTGACGCCTGTTTACTACGTAAAAATATTTGAACCGCAAGGGGAAAAAAGAAATCGTCCTCCTTCACGATACAAGGAAGGCATAATGATAAACGCAAGCACAATGTAAAGGCTGGTTCAAGCCTTCCTTCAGCTATAACATAAAGTATATACAAATATCCAACAGCCAATGGACCTGCATAAAGCGAGCCCAAGCAATTAGGGGAGAGTGCAAATCGATCAATTACATTAAGCAAGTCCTGCTCAAGATTAAGGTCTTTGGTTGCAGCCACAAAAACGTCTCGCATTGAAACAAGCTTAGAGTTGTTGGGATATGAAACTAAGGGAAGGAAAATTGACGAATCGTCAAAGAAATTGGGTGAAGTCAGATCCAATAGGAGCCTCAGATGCCAGACGCTCCATCTAAATAAATGTTTTGGTGCCAAAGACAACAGGCCTTCATCTGACAGCAGATTGTCAAGCAAAGTAAATGTAGGGCCTTGATTTGAATATTCAAGGTCTATTCTTAGACAGTGATATACAATAAAAGTGAAAGGTAATATAAGATCAATTTGTCTCTCTACGCTCACTGATGCTGTGTGAGATAAATCTATCATATACTTAAGACAATGAAATAGAAGGATTCTTCTATACTTCAAAGATAGCTTTGGTAATCTAAAGGCAAATTTGCATGCATCAAGGGGAAATTCAGAAGTAAGCAAAGAACGGAATATGGAAGAAGCAGCAGATTTGTAATTAGTCTGGGGGCTTTTTAATGAAAGACTGAGGGCGTGCAGATGGTGTTTGCAAATACCATAAGCTAAGGGAGATGATTCAAATATTCGCCGACTTTGTGCCTGGAAACGTTTTAACGATATTTTTTCGTTTTGTTTCCAATAGCAAAAAGCCGCATGCCAGATCCTTAACAAATTCTCTGAAGAAGAAGGATTGATAGGAATATGCCGTTTTATGTTGTCACAGCAAACCTCACAAAATTCCGTTCCAGAACGAACAAGTTCTAAACCGGATGATTCTGGAATACTACATAATATTGGCGGACTCCGGTTAATAGGTTTGAGAGTACAAAGTTTGAAATTAGCTTCTTTAGGAATCAGATGTTGATATGTGCAAGCAGGATCAATGCATTCACCATCGAGAATAAATGGACAGAGAGGGAGGTAAGGATCTATGCTAATCAGACTATCTGAATGCTCAGAACCATTACTCACGCATTCAGCAGTAGGATATGCAACCGAAGAAATTATTTTCGTAGGAGAGCGACGAAATAGCAGAAAATTATTAAATATTTGAATGAATTTGGCTCGCTGGAAAATCCCAAAAAGCAAACGCAGAGTTTCTTTATGCCGATTAATGAGTCGATCCCCGGGGTCAGCAGATTTTCTATGCGAATCAATATCTTTACTAGTGGTATTTGCTTGCTTTTCAACAAGTCCTCTAAGATGAGTAAGGAATTCACTATAGGATTTGACTTCAGCAGAGTATTTGGATTGAAGGCGATTTTCAGCATGTCGAGCTTTAACTAAGGCAGTACTCGCTTGGCGATGAAGATTGACCGTTTTTCTGAGTCGCACTTTAAGTTTGGTTATTAATTCCGACAACTGCTTTTGGACAGACTCTCTTTGAGATATAAGATTAGATTGCCTGTAGATAGAAGCCTTAAGACGGGAAAGGTTGTGCCGATGCTTGAGAAGCCTCTTCTCTGATGAATGAAGAGATAAAAGTAGAGGTATCCTGGACTGATGAATATGGGTTGGCTTTGAAGGCGGTTTAAAAAGGGGAGGAAAAGCGGTTGACTTTATCACCCTAACTTGATTGCCTTCTTCGACAGGCTGGTCCGAATCACTATCCGATGAGGTCCCAAGCTCGATGACAAAGCGACGAAGGTTAGGATTGGGACTTGATAGTTCAGTAGATAAGGGACATTCGATGGATTTTGGTAACGAAACAATATTTTCTTTATTATTTCCGACTGGAGGAACAGAATCAAATATAGCATTCTTCTTAAGGAGCAAGCTACGAAGAGCTTTCTT